AATTTAAAGCATCTAGATCTTAAACAACACATTTGATATATTATTCTTGATATTAAAAAGCAACTACATGTATGGCTACTACTTTTATTATGGTAAAAGTGATTGATTGATTGATTCTCGAAAAGAAGAAACCAGATTATTTTCCCCACAAAATGTATTTTATAATTAATTCTCTGACCTTCAATTATATCACCGTTAATGCTATTAGCTATCATCGTTTTTTTTCTACCCAAGGTCAAACAAATTAAAAGCGAACAGTAATAATGACATTAAGTATACAACTCCATCTGTAGACTACATACCACCAACAAAACAGAAAAGCAGGTTAACAATAACTAAACAAACGTTCATACAACCTGAAGATATATGGAAACCCGACAGTACTAAATATAATGTCACCCATCACTTGTCTGATGTAACACAATTAAGTGAAAATGAACTGAGAAATCGTCTACAACGAATAAGCAAAGAACTACATGTTGTAAGCTTACTTTTTATAGTCTAATTATGATCTTTTAATTCGATGCTGTTTCATTTAAGTGTTTAATCTTAAAGTATAAACAAAACTCAGTAAGTGTAGATTTAAATTTCAGTAATGCTTTGTGAAGTAAAACTGTCATTTGCATATTGATAAGTATGTTGAGAAATTCTCATCCCATGAACTGCTAGTTGAAACTTGAAAGTCTACACCAATGAAGAACAATTTTACAGTAGAATGTATCATGCAAATGATTGTTATTAGTAGTAAAACAACATAAACTTGGTACACTATGGGTACCAGGAGATTCGGCACACGAAATTAATTAGACTACAATATATGAGGAAAATAGGCATAGAATAAATGAGGTAGCTCGTCCGGAAAGCAGGTAACCATGCTTGTTAAGATCATTCATCATCCGCTACTTTATTTTACTTTCCAAAAGGTTGGAAAGGAGAAGATTGCAAAATGTCCGCCTAGTCATAAATTCTAACATCTCGCACTGCCGATTCGCATTATCTTCCAGGTCCTACTCAGGTAGTCGTGATGCACCAACGAACGCTAAAGGAACACAAATATTCTTCATTTCACACCGTCACGTCATAGACGCCCCTTTTTCTATTCAACCTCAGTTAGTTTACAACAAGAGGTATGGGAGTCTATGGGATGGTATTCATAGTACATGTCCCAGCCACCGAAGCTGGCATTTCAAGACAATAACACTCAACATAAGATGATGCCATTGTGTCCAGACACAAGCTGGTAGACGTCAGAATTACTTGCGTGAAAATTTCATTGGACAAAGTAATTTTACGGATTCAGAGTCGATGCGCATCATCAGCTCAGAGAGACCAGCTTTCACAGAAATAGAGCAAAAGTTTGCATATCGAAGCACTATAAACACGACATTCGACAGCCAGAATAACGCCGTCATTGTGCCCTGGTTTTGACTATGCAGTTAGAGATCTCACTCGTCACACCTCCAACAGTTCATATAAGACACGACTGGTAGCAAAATAATACACATATGATTTTCAAACGTATAACATAGGCACGAAAACGCCAGTGTATTCAGTAACATAGTCTGTTTGTTTTGAAATAGTAATTTTATTTAAATTAGGACCAAATATTGGTTATCAACTAGTGAAATACTTATTGATGTCCAAACCAAGTTCACTTTTAACAGTTTGGAAAAATTTGGGCATCGGGTATATGATATTCACTATAATGAAGGTTTTTGTATTTCCCAATGGTTGAAAACAATATCGTTTTGTTTTACATTTATTGGTAAATACAAAAACCGTTATTATATTGAAATACTGATTAAAGTCGCATAAACATATTAGAAAACTTTTTATGGCTACAACAACAATAACATGATTCTGCCATTACGTTCAAATCAAATCCTAGTCCTTTGCTGTTGAATAGAGTTAAAGGAAACAAACATATATACCTGTCCAGCCTGTGTACAACTTAGATTTCTTGTGTACACGCGGTAAACAAGCATCATTTCACTCTTCTTATTAAATGACACTAAGTTAATTGCACAGGATAGCTACCTTCTCACAACACTGCATGCAGGTCACATCACACTGAAAAACAATGAAAGTCGGGGTTGATATTTCAAAGCACGCTAACGTGGTGATTGAACAGCGACAGGCTTACTGTGATGCTTGATGCTTTATGGAGTTGCAGACACAGACCCCTAAAGAGTCTGAACCGCAACAAGATAGATGTTCATATTTAAGTACTCAGTATACCCTAGGAAGCCTCTTCAATATATATATATATATGTTCCAATACTACTAACAATAACAGTATCTTTTCATTGATTAGGAACAATCGCGCCGTTATTATCTCGCTAATATTTGTGCAAATTTGCTGGAGGAGAATCGTAAGCTTCGAACTGGTCAGTTGAATGCGGTGGATATAAGAAGACAAGAAACTAATGACGCCATTCCCATCACCACCACTACTGCAACGATATCAGCTCAACCAACTGAATCAATCCAGAAGAACAGTAATAATGCGAACAGGAAAACAATGTTGGGTCTCATAGATAGTAAAATCAAACAAACTAGTAGTAGTAACCCAAATTTATGGAATAGACCAGAATTAAAATCATATAAATTTGATATTGAGACAGATTTGTAAGTGAGACGAGAAATATAATAAATATATATACATGTACATAATATTACTTAAACAGTAATTACTGTAACAATTATCAGTATATATATATATATATATATATATATATATATATATATATATATATATATATATATATATATATATATATATATATATATATATATATATATATATATATATATATTACTGAGTTAAGAATATGAGATGTGAACAATCTATTTCAAAATATGTATTTCTACTATTTCTCAGAGTAATCGATAATAAACTCCAGAACCCTTTTCTTGTTTTGTTTTGTTTTTAAATTAAGTAATCCACGATCGCATGAATCAAACTCATATCATGGAAGTCTCACTACCAAACTAACATACAAACTTCTGTCATACCTTTGAATTATAGAATTATGCTTACAGATTAGCGACGAAATAGTAATCAGTATTTGATTTCAATGCACAGCTTTTTTCAGTAGTAAAATAAATCAATGGAACAAATAGGTGATTCATCACATACTAAAAATTCAAAGCGTTAGTGTATGTGTTCACATGAGCGGTGTTGTCTTGCATAATTTTTCAGAACCTTTAAATAAGATACTGGATTCCTTGAGTTAGTATACTGCTGCACCTCTTCAAAACTGTCAACACAAAATATTAGTAGATGAAAACTGGATAACTATATGCAGATTTAATCTTAGAGTGTATCAGAGCAAGTGAACTGAAACGTACTTCGATCCAGATCCTTAAAACGGATAAGTCGTTTCTTAAAATTATGGGTTTATATATTTTGTCAACTGAATCGTCAAATCGCTTAATATCGACCAATGTATGTTCTTCGAGTTGCTGTAAAGTCGTTCTAGTAACTACACTACCATGCCTAAAATGCTCAGACTGTGATGCAACATACAGTGGTCAAACTTATCGAGAATTTAAGAAGAATGAATACCAAACACCTTCTATTTGACCAACAAGAAATCCAACGGAACATAGTAAATCCTTGAGTCGAATGTGATTGAATTCCACCTCCTGTGTTAATTGGTGCAATATAGTTAGTATAATTAGGCTAGGAATAATGTCAATCGCTGAGGTTGTAAACCTGCATCGATTGAGATGGCTATGACGCATGTCAAGTCGTCGCCTTCCTCGTCGAGCAATGTTGACTGACACAATTTTGTTGAAAAAGATTTAGAGGTAGTCAAACTAGTAAATGGCATCAACTCATGAAGCTGATTTAAGTCACGTAGGGAGGTTCAAAGTGCTAGAATAGAATCGCCAAATTGTTGAAGAGTTGTTGACACGATCCCATAGGTGCATGCACTCTATGCAATATTCTAGATCCATTAAATCTCCACGTAATTATTCTTTCTCCTGTATATTTCCGTTTATCATAGTTTCTTTTCTCTATCTTTGCGTGGTTTAGGAAGTGTAACAACTTGAACTGTTGCACTTTATGGTCAGTCCTACGTCAAGAATTTAGATCAGTTCAGAATACGAATGACAGATTTATACAAAATTTGACCTGAGACCCACCCCCACCCTCCTCCCGGAAATCAACACATGGGAAAAGCATTTTTCATTACGTGGATACATATTTTCGATAAGTCGACTTATCGAAATCCAGCAATCTGCTCAGGTCTGTTATCTTTACTCAACAGCCCAGGACTACATCATACGGAAAAATCATGATCGAGTTAGAGTATTATAAGCTGAGACTTTGGAAAATGTCATTTACTATTCTTTTTCTTTCCTTTCTTTGCGTTCTAAGTGGGATGTAAGACTTCAGGCATTTTTAACTTTGAAGTTTCAGTAACGCTTGTGGTGTTTTTACGGGATGGGGTTATTAGTCGCACGCCCCTTTCTCATTTGCCAGAATCACTGCCAGCTGGGCGAGGTTTCAGAATGTGTCGGTGGGGAACCAAGCCTTGGGCCACGTGCGTGGTTGGCGAGCATTCTACCAATAAACATCGACGCACACATGTATATTATTATTTACTCTTAAATCCGTTGTTATTTGGTTTATTTTAATTGACCTTTTTTCGCTACATAGATTGAATCAGTGGGTGAAAATGTGACACAAGTGAAAACTGATTTGCTCACTATTCTTTTATTAAACTTTTTGGTTTATATTATTTCATGACCTTTCCTAGTAATGTAGCATCATTCTCGTTTCATTCACTGACTTTACACACGTGCTGTTGTGAAATGTGGTAAATTGAAATGATGGTCTTCGGGTAGTTTACTATACTGATCCGTCTACCTGACTGCACAATGTTACTACTACTCTGTCAGTTATAAAAGTAATTTATGTCTTCAAAATACAGAAAATTCTTTCATGTCCTGTTAATACAAAGAAATGATAAGAATGTATTTGGGGGGCGGGGGACTGGACATAAACCTGAAATAGAGATATTACAGATAGATGATAGCGTAACGGAAGTTGGTATTCTCCCAACTCAATGGTTGGTTTTTCCCATAACTTTTATGAATAGAACAATCTCCTATAGAACTGAACCACAATGAACTCAAATAAACAATAACAAAAGTAACGGTCAAAATAACTGAACATACTTTATTTTACAAGCGACTGTATTTACTGTACAAGATTCTGATAAGTTAAAAATTTGTGATCATAATGTTTGAATATTTACAGGAGTGTTTTATAGTACTCGTGAAAAAAAAGATTCCAAAAATATGCCACAAAGTGTGACACTTTCATTTTGAATCACGAATGCTTCTCCACCAGGATAAAACAGCACGACGTCGTTCACAGAGGAATTCAGATCCATTCATACCATACACCCTAGTTTTCAACAAAAATTAAACATATGATCATTAATACAAAGCATCATTTACGTAGAAATGTATTAATTTTAATGAATCATCTTCTAGAAATATTAACTCAGTTATTGCTCTAATAAAATGACAACACCATACGATGTACAGCACAATGTAACAGTTAATAATCTATACATTCAGAATCCCGTACAACTTTCGTGTCACATTTCTAAATGTCACTGAATCTGTTTCTGTTTTCACCTGCGAATATTAACATTAGCATTACACAACAGATACGATTAATATCATCCTACACAAAATTCACTGTGAATTCTATTTTTAGGCCAAGTACATGATACACTGAATATTAGGTAGCAGCTAGAATCATTTCATGAGTAGTGAACAAGCAAGCATAAATACAGATTTTGAATACAAGTGAGTTAAAATAGAACAGCTATGCGTGGGATACTTTACGGATATTTGACTAGAAAATATGTCAGCCTCAAATATCAACACCAATATAGTGAAGAAAATCTCAAAAAAAATCAGGATACAACAAGGCATACGATGGGTGTTCATGGTAATGAGTGCCACTCTCTGGAATAACATATGCCAACTGGTTTTATGTGCACGATGAATGGGGTGTGTAGATTGAGGAGTAGCATTTTCTGAAGTTCACATAGTACACATGACACAGCACAACTTACCGATGATGCTTCTTGTACAATTTGTTATGATGCTAGATCTTTTGTCACGAGGTCACTGCTTAACTACTTACCAGTGCCCACTTAACTGGTAAAGCAGAACACGCGAGAATCAGCGGTAAAACCAGGTTCATTTATTATGACAAAAGTGACTGTATTTATACAAAAATAAGGTAGACTGGAAATCAACCAATCCGGTTGAGAGTTGGAATTGTGCAAGCGTCCAATCAGAAAGCAGGAACAATTGCATGTCAACGACTTGTTAATAACGCGATAATAACTTGACTGAGACATGATAATGACCTGATAATTGCATGTGTTTTGCCTCTTCCTAACACCTCCCCTTTTAAGATAGGGCTACCGGTAGCTTTTGTATCGCGGAATCACTTGTAGGTACTTTGGCGGTCTTGGTTGTCGTTGTGATCTCCTTGGCTGCTGGGACACTTTGCCTTTGTTTCGACTATTTTGGCCATGTGACGTTTTCGGATCCGTCGTATCTATCAATAGCTCAAATTGTACGTCGGCGGACTTGGAATCGTTCAACTGTTTACCAACTAGTCTATTTCTTATTTGATTGGCATGCCTGACCCAAATAAGGTCTCCAACCTTGACCTTGTAAATGACTTGGCCTTTTCTTCCAACGATCACTCCAGAAACCCATGGGCGATCTCTCCGTATGTAATCACGAACCAGTACCGACTGACCAACCATGAAACTTCTTTGCTTGGTGCCATGACGTCTATTGAACCAAAATTCACTATTTCGACCACATTTGCTCCGTCTTGATGGGATCGGGATAATTGTATCCAAAGTAGTACGTAATCTTCTTCCAAACATAACTTCTGCGGGAGATGTTTGATTTGGGCATGATGGGTTGGTTGTGGTTCGATAAATGAAGAGGAAATTGTGCAATACATCCTCTATCGATCCCTCCCCGTTTGACTTCTGAAGTGCGCGCTTGAGTGTATCAACAAAACGCTCTGCTTGTCCATTTGACTGAGGATGGTAAGGCGGGCTGCGAATATGCTGAACACCTAGCCGCTCACAAAACTGTTTGAATTGTTCAGCTGTAAACTGAGGTCCGTTATCGGAAACGATGATCTCTGGAACACCAAATCTGCTGAAAAGCTGAACCAACTTATTTAATGTTATCGTCACTGTGGTATTTTGCATAATGAAAACCTCCGGCCACTTGGAATACGCGTCGATTACCACGAGAAACTGTTTGCCATTGATTGGGCCGGCAAAATCTATGTGGATTCTTGACCACGGTTTTCCTGGGTTGGGCCACGGCTGTAGGTCTGTCTTGATAGGCATTTTCAAAGCCTGAGCACAGCGAGAACATGAGCGAACCATCACTTCTAATTCACGATCGATATTTGGCCAGTAGACGTAACAGCGTGCCAACGATTTCATACGGCCAATACCAGGATGCGTAAAATGTAGTTGACTCATGACTTTTTGTTGGAGACTTCGAGGCACGACCACACGTTCGCCAAACATAATGCAGTCATTGACCAGGGATAACGAATGTCGTCGTTGATAGAACTGTTTTAAATCTGGACAATCAATACGCGAGGGCCAGCCACAACGCAGATACTGTTGAACTGACTGTAATGTCGGGTCACGCTGCGTCTCTCGTTGAACCATGTCGGCTGAGACAGGTAAAGTGTTTATTGCCGTCATCAATACGTGGCACACGTCTTCATCGACAGAAACGCCGGCGATCACAGCGTCCTCCTTTGCGGGCTTGTTATAGCTGAGTAAACGCGAGAGGACATCTGCATTCCCGAAATCTTTTGTAGATTTGTACTTGATCTGAAAGTCGTATCCTAGTAGCATAGTCGCCCATCGTTGGAGTCGATTGGCTGTATAGACTGGAATACCTTTCTTGGAGCCAAAAATCGATAATAGTGGTTTGTGATCAGTAAAAAGTGTGAACTTTCGGCCAAGCAGCATTTTGTGGAACTTTTGAATCCCAAACACGAGCGCTAATCCTTCCTTTTCGACCTGACTGTAATTCTGCTCTACCTTTGTCAAGGTTCGCGATGCATATGCTATTGGCTTTTCAACACCGTCTGGAAACACATGTGAAATGACAGCGCCAATACCATAGTTGGACGCATCTGCAGCTAATGTTATATCCAGCTTTGGATTGTAATGTGTTAACAGCAGGTCAGACTGGAGTAATTTCTTGACCTTGATGAAAGCTTGTTGGCATTCTTCTGACCAGTTCCATTTAGCATTCTTCATGAGCAACTGATTCATTGGGGCTCTGAGACGATGTAAATCTGGCAGGAACGCACTATAGTAACTGATCATCCCCAGGAAGCACTGCAACGTTCTGAGATTATTAGGGGCAGTCATCTGTTAAATTGCTGACACACTGGAGGGGTCGGGTTTGCCACCATCTTTGTCAAAAATGAATCCCATGTACTTCACTGAAGTCATCAAAAAATTGCACTTATCCGGACGTAAATGGAAACTGGAATCACTGAGTATTGTCAGGACTTTATCCAACCGATTGAAGAGTTCGAATTGAGTTTCTCCTGTGACTATGATATCATCGAGGTAAACGGCCACTCCCGATACACCAGCTAATATTGCATCCATTATCTGTTGGAATATAGCAGGAGCAGGTTTAACACCATATGGAAGTCGCTGGAACTGATACAGTCCTTTGTGAGTGTTGATTGTCAGAAGCTCTTTAGAATCATCTTCGACCTCGATCTGTAGGTATGCCTCAGCTAGATCAAGTTTACTGAAGTATTTACCGCCATTCAGTTTGACAAATAGATCTTGCGGTACTGGTAGTGGATACGGTTGATCTTCAAGGGCATTATTGAGTCCTGTTGAGAAATCAGCACAAAGTCTGATGGTACCGTTTGCTTTCTTGACAACCACTATGGGGGCTGCCCAGGATGAGTAATCGACTGGCTTGATTACGTTCAACTTTTCTAAACGATCCAGCTCTGCATCAAGGGACGATAATGCGGCATACGGTACTGGGCGTTTTGGTCTAAAAACTGGTTTGGCATCAGGTTTGAGGTATAGTCTGGCTTTTTGTACGGTACAGCAACCCAAAGACTCTTGAAAAACGGCAGCGTGTTTGGTGCGAAGATGACTGATGAACTTTGCGGTCGAGTTCGGATGCATCAACATGTTGGTAGGACTATCTGAGCACTGTACATTGGAACAAACTGAGTTCAGTGGGACATCCCAGAGTTTCATCTTTTCGATCCAGTCAATACCAAGCAAGTTCAAATCATGACGATTGGTGATGTAGCATGTTCCTTGGAACGAGGTCGACCGGAAAGTTACGTCGCATTCAATCTGGCCAGATAATTTCATTACGTCACCCGACGCGTTTCTTGCAGTATGCTCCGTTCTCTGATTTTTTTAAGGTTAAGGTGCCCGCCACGTCTGGGGAGATATGATTGTGATATCAGAAGCAGTATCTAACTGTAGTCGAACTGGCTTCTGGTTGATAGAAAGTGTGACAAACTTTCTTTTTGACTCGAAGTCAACTTTGAAGGTAGCGAACATACTGCTGATTTGAGGTTTCGTCGACCGAGATCGAAACTTTCGTGACTGTGCCATCGTATTGTGAGATCGGATTGATCTAGGTTTCACTGGGGGACAAAATCCTTCCTTGTGACCATACTTGTTACAGATACTGCATTTATGTCTTTTATACGGGCAAAATTTACCAAAATGCCACGATCCACAAAACCAACAATTTGTGGGAGGCTTGTGTTTGACTTGCAGAGAATTGTTTGACTTGACAGCCTGAACAGAAGTAAATTCATGAACTTGACCGTCCTCAATCAACTTCGTGTCATGCTTTAGATTGATGATTCGCTGGCACTCAGCAGTTACCTCCTGTAAAGTCATGTCCGGTTTGCGTTCAATCTCTGCAAGGATTCGGGTACGAATATCACTGTCAACTGAAGATTTGAGACCGCAGACAAAGATCAGGCATTTAAACTGGTCATCCGTAAGTGATCGAATTTTCGATCGCTCGCATTCACGATTCACCTTACCAGCATAGGTGAGAATATCATCTCCTGGATCTTTGGATATCTTGAAACAATTGTAACGGATACTGAAGAGAGATAACTGTTCACCGAAAATATTGGTTAACGTTTGAACGGTTTCTTCAAAGTTGAGTTCTCTGGAGTTCTTTGGTAGAATATGATTGACATATTTGTTATGTTCGGCTGGACCAAGTTTCCGAAGGAGTAGTCTCACTTTGGCCGAATCATCTAGGTGAGCGCATTCAACCCGGAACAGATCTTCATAACGTCGAAACCAAGCTTCAAACGTCACGCCTGTTGAAGGTTCGAAATTGAACTCTACAATTGAACTCCCAATAGATTCGGTTTTCTCTGAGTTGGAACTGCCGAGATTTTGAATTGAAAACTGCTTTGTAAGTTTTTCAATCAAGCTGAGCTGGCAAGCTTCAAACTGTTGCTGTTGTTGATGAAGGAGAAGTTGCATTTGTTCAAATGAAATTGTCATTTGGAAGACAGGCTGGATGTACACTGGATGATCTGGGTTTTATTTGACTGTATTGAACTGCAATGGATTCGAAACCCCGTCGCCAATTGTTATGATGCTAGATCTTTGTCACGAGGTCACTGCTTAACTACTGACCAGTGCCCACTTAACTGGTAAAGCAGAACACGCGAGAATCAGCGGTAAAACCAGGTTCATTTATTATGACAAAAGTGACTGTATTTACACAGAAAATAAGGTAAACTGGAAATCAACCAATCCGGTTGAGAGTTGGAATTGTGCAAGCGTCCAATCAGAAGCAGGAACAATTGCATGTCAACGACTTGTTAATAACGCGATAATAACTTGACTGAGACATGATAATGACCTGATAATTGCATGTGTTTGCCTCTTCCTAACACAATTTACTACTCATTATCATAAACTTACGGAATCCTTCCAAGTAAAGACGGAAGTAAGACAAGCTGGCTGCCTACTATCGCCAATGATTTTCCTGATTGCAGTTGGTTGGATAATGCGACAGACAACGGGCAATGAAGAAACAGGCATAAAATGGACTCACACAAAAAAACTTGGAGGATATGGACTTCGCCGATTACATACGTCTGATTTCCCACAAACTGGAAGATATGAAAGTGAAAAGCAACAAGCTGGTAGAAGAAGCATCCAGAGAAGATAGGACTTCAGATGAACATAGAGAAAACAGAGGTGATGAAGATTCCTGGGCAACACCACCAACAACAACCACAGACAACAATCAGCATAAATGGAGCAACCTGAAAGAAATAACCTCCCTTACCTACCTGGGAAGTATCGTTTCAACTACAGGCGAAACCGACGAGGATATCAAAGCAAGAATCGGAAAAGCAAGACAAGAGTTCATTACCCTTAAGTCTGTGTGGAGGTCAACAGCACTCAGCATTAAAAATAAGATCCGGATTTTCAACTCCAATGTGAAGCCAGTGTTACTCACTATATGCATCAGAGACTTGGTGCGTCATAAAGAGCACCTCAAACAAACTACAGACCTTCATCTACAGCTATCTTCGCTCAATACTCAAGATCAGCAATAGTGAGGGATCTCTGGGAGCAAACCAATCAGGAACAGATTGTGCAACAAATAAGCACGAAGAAATGGATGTGGACTGGCCATACTCCGAGGAAACCATCAAGTGACATTACTAGACAAGCCCTCGAGTGGAACCCGAATGGGAAGTGGCGAGTCGGTCGTCCGAGGGTGACTTGGAGGAGGTCACGTGAAGAGATGAAAGCATGTGGGCAGGAATTAAAGGAAATAATAATAATACCACTGTGTTTTCAGGCTCCTATAGTTACTTGACATTCAGTAACCACAACTCATTTCTAGTATCTGAGTGCCGAATACACTTAAAGCAACTTCATACTGCAAACAACAAAATAAGTTCAGAAGTAAAGGATACGTAGTACTTAATGTCAAATTAATAATTCATAGAATTAATTAATTCAATATAAAACATACATTCCAAAAAGTAAACCACCAGCATGTGCCGCATGATCCAGTGCACTTCGACGGGTAAAGAATAAAATGCCAAGTGTTTCAATGCATAGCATGACCCAAATAGCATTGCTCGCTTGAAATGAATGAGGGATTATATCTACAACAAATGGTATACATAATCTAGCGTTTGGCTGGAGCATAGAAAATGCACCGATTATAGCACATATTCCTCCACTTGCACCAAGGGATGGAAATGTTGATTTTTGAAGCACTTTGTTAATCAGACTGACATAATTCGAGAAAATTCCTAGCAGGAAGAGTCAGAAAAGAAATACAGCGAAACACAGTGATAATACCGATTATAAACAGTAACTAAAACTTTGTGTATCTTGGTATCTAATAAAAAATCACTCGTATTTTGTAGGTAGAAATGCAACACACGAAATAATATGACTTTACATCAGAAGTTAAAAATAGCTAAGAATGCATACGAAAGTATTTTCACTCACTACATCTGAGGTAGATGGAAAAGAGAACTTCTTATATGAATCTTTGAGATTAATTACATCTGATAACGTCTGGAGTTATTGAAGTGTAACCTCTGCCGCTTTAGAGAATTGTAACACACCAAAAAAAGTGTATTCAACACAAATATCTATGACGCGACATAATAAAGTAGACCAATCCACTACTTCTTCAAACCGCTTTTAGACTCATATGTCATATTAAATCCCATGAAATGGAATATTCAACACAATCAAGCCATTAGAGTCAGTGTTCTTGAATGACTTCACTTGTTAGAAGCCAACTACTATGCATAAACGTTAGTTATGGCATCACCTTTGGGTGAGAGAAATCCTACTGACAGACTTAACAACCTGGAATTTAGCAGAAAGTGAGTCACCGCATATTGCAACATGCCAGAAAAGCACAGATAAAAGTGGAGAGATGAACTGTGATGAAACTACGACGAACATGAATGTACGGGAAAGAGGAAAATTAAGTGGAGATTAGTAGACATATAGTAGCAGTAGTGACTATACCAGTGCGAGTGACTGATGATGAACCATGTCACCAAGAGTCTTCAAACACTGATTCTTAAGCAGTCGTATAAACAACACGTTGTTATAAGTACCCCCGATTCTTTTTCAATATTGTTCTACTGCAACTACCGTTGCTTGTCGAGGATGGCAGTCACTTGGGTTGCGTAAAGCGCTCTTTAACAAACCAGACAGATAGAACTGCACAGTGTCCATTAGTTTTCGCTCTTTATCTTCGTCATTATTCATCACTTTGCTCCATCTAAAAATAACAAATTAACGAAAGCACTTATGGTCAGAAATATTTAATTTCTTTCTTTCTCCCACTTTCAGTGATGACTGATTTTGTGGCGTGTGCTGCTAACAAGATTTATCATTCGTATATAAAGAAACATTCATCAGCACAAAAATATCAAATGGCAGAGTGATAGACTTGGCATCAAGGAGAGTAAATGAACCAGTGTTACGGAGAAACGCGAGAGACACTAAAAGAAGACAAAGAAACACAATACAAAGGGGCAGAAGTAGCACAACACAGAAGATCTGTGCAAATGACGATTTCAAGATAAGGTATATATAGTATTATTATTATTCCCTTGGGTTCTGAATGGAACATACGGCCTCAACAACACATCTCCATTTTGTTCTATTCTCTGCTGTCCCCTTCATCTGGGTCCACGATTGCCCACAATCTCTCATCTCCTCTTCCTCGCAACACGATCTCCCCCATGTCACCATCGCACCGACGACCCACTCATCGCTTCCCATTCGGGTTCTACTCGAAGGCCCGGCGCTCGATGTCATTCGACAGCCTCTTCAACGTATGCCCGATCCATCTCCATTTTCTCCTACATATTTGTTGAGCTATCGGCTCTTGCCTGTTGGTTTGTTCCACTGATGAGTTTCTTGTTGCTAATTCTTTCTGGCCATTTGATCTTTAATATGGGGCCAGTGGAAGGGGCTGACACGCAGTGCAAGTTTCTCACCCGTATAGAAGCGCTAACTGACTGACTTTACACGTGTTGAAAATCCGAATCTTGTTCTTTATGCTGAGGCGGAGGGCAGATTTCTCAACTGGTTTTAGCTTGATGAATGCGTATCTTGCCTTTCCGATTTTGGCTGGCGTTGACATCTTCATCAGTTCTGACTGCCTGTTGTTGAAATGGTGCTTCCTGGCCAAATGAGAGAAGGCAGGAAGTAAACTCTGTCAAATCTCTCTCGTTGATGATGATTGATTCTGGTTGTTGTTGCTGTTGGTGGTGGTGGTGGTGGTTGGTTATCACTTGCATCTTCTCTATGTCCACCTGGAGTCCCGTGTTCGCTGTCAACCTCTCCAGCTAGTTTGTTGATATTTGCCTGCAAGTCTTCGATTTTGTGTGAAATTAAACATAAATAATCTGTGAAATCCAGATCTTCTAGAATCTTACTATCTGTAGTATAGCGTATTCCCGTTTCCTGACTCCCAAGCACAGTCTGACGCATAATCCAGTCAGTACACCACAATTAAGAATATCCTCGGTGATCATAGACAGTCAGCTTGTCTTACTCCTCTATTCACTTCGAACGCATTATTCCACGCCAGTTCTTGCACACACCTAACTACGTCGCCCTTCTTTGGCAGCTTGACGAGGTAGCCAGTCTTTCTTCCAATCCATTGGCACCTTTCCTTCCTTCCAAACCTTTTGTAATAATGGTGTGAGCACATCTACCACAGCCTCTGGGTCCGTTTTCAGTGCTTCGGGAGAGATTCCGTCCGGTCTTGCTGCCTTCCCTCCTGGACTTCAGTAGCTTGATCGCATTCAAGATTTCTGCTTTTGTTGGAGGATTGGTGTACACTGTCAGGCAGTTGTGTGTGTAATGTTGGTAGTGATGGTATCTCTGGGCAAGTTGCAGGTGATGGTCGATTCAAGAGTCCTTTGAAGTGATCAGCCTACTGTTTTATTTCTTTCTCCTCTTTCGTAATCAGGCTCACTTGAACATCATTTATTGTTTTCATTACCTGTGGTGATCTCCACCTGGATAGATATCTGGTTATCCTATAAAATGTTCTGCCTCAGCCGACAGTGTCGTATAATTGTCTTTTGTCTTTCCTAGCACTCTTCTTCACTTCTTTATTCAGTGCAGTGTACAATGAACTTAGCTTCTCCTTCCGTTGCCCATCGTTGCATTAAGTCATCTCTTTAAATCCTCATCTGTTCTTCAAGCTTCCAAGTATCTGTTGAGAGCCATTCATTGTCTATATGGAGGTATCAAACTCAAAATAAAGATTCCATTACCTTGCCTTCGACCATTATAATATCTAGTAGAGGGAGCTGTTGCACAGTATACACGCCTTTTGATAGACAGTCAGCTATCAAGCTTTGTGGAGCAAGTTAGTGAGTGAAAAACGACCTTTTGTATCTCCACTGACGTTTGGTCAAGGTAACCCTACAGAGGTTAAAAATCAAATACTGTTAGGTGTTATAGAAAGTATGTTCTCCATTAATGTAGATTATTTTTAACTTATTTTCAAGTATTGGTTATTGTAGGGATTTTGTTTGATTTGTTGTAGGATCTCATCATGAGCTACATCAGTTAGACAACCATTGCTGTCTGTCTGTCTGTTTTCGACATAGAACTTTGCACATATGTGCGGCAGTTCAAGTCGCCACACTCCCTCCTTGTAGCACACACAAAGAAAGAGGAGAAAGTAGAAGAAATTCATACTAGACAGTAAACACGGGTGTGAGCCAAAGAAATAATAATAACGAAGAACAAAACAGTTTCATTGGAAATCATAAGTCTCAAGGAGTGGATGCATCTGCGCCATTGAGAATGATTTTGAGCCATGTCACCAATTGTTTCCAACCACTGGTTTTTTTTACCGTCTCGAGGACCCCAACCAGTAAGTCTACACCTCCCTACGTGGCTTAGACTAACTGTTGTGGATCTAATTGACTGGTGCTACGTTTTGGTATGACCACCACTAGCTCTTTTTCATCCCGACCTTATGTCCGCTAACATTGCCCGTTGAGGAAGGCGATGGCTAGGCATGTGTAAAACATGTCCTAAACATCTCAATCCATGTAGCTTCACAGCCTCGTCGATTGATTTCCCCACCTTACCTAGCACTCGATGCCTGTCCACTTCACACGGGAGATAGAACGCAGTCACCTATTATCAAAGACAGCTAGCCAGCTTCTTCATGTCTTCCACTCTCAATGGCCAGGTTTCGCTCACAGCCATAAAGGAGGACGGAGCGAACTGCTGAGCAGTACACACGTCATCGGTTAATAACTGGATATCTCGTCTATGCCAGAGACGGCGTAAACTGTCATATACGAAACTAGTTTTCTGTATCCATGCTGAGATTTGGTCAGCGGTCAACCCGTCGGCATTGGCTAATGTAACTTCCCAAATAAGTGAAGCGGCCGACGTGCTCTACCACTTCACCCTCTGTTTCGAAGCTAGGAGTCAGTGTAGTCCAGTCCTGTAGTATCATCTGACATTTGACGGGAGCGAACCGCATGCCAAACATTCGAAGATTGCAGCTCAAGGTGTTCAGAAGACTGTGCATTATGTCAGCATCCTCACCTAGGAGGACTATATCATTTGCATATTCTAAGTCAACGAGATTATTTCCTGATGGTAACAAGTCAATCCCTGAATCTCTGAAGTGAGTTAGGGTTAAGTCCATTAGTACATCTATGATGAAATTGAATAGAAATGGGGATAATGGGCATCCCTGACGGACACCACTAGTTATCACCACTTCAGATGACAACTCGCCGTGAGCCCTCACCAGGCTGCATGAGTACGAGTAGAGTGTCTTAATCAATGCAATGTATTTTCTCACCATTCCCTTTACAGCATCGCCACAGAACCTCTCGGTCGACAGAATCGAATTCCGCTTTTAGGTCAAGAAATATAATGATTTTTGGACGCCGGTAGGAATTCCTATGTTCTAGAATCTGTCGGAGGGTGAAGATATGATCAATACATCCTCTTCCTGGTCTAAAGCCTGTCTGGCTCTCGTGTTTGTTCCCCCCCACCCGCACCACTTAGTAGTGTACGCAATATTATTGAGCCTAAGACTTTAGATACTATATAAGTCAAGCTAATCCCTCTGTGATTGCAGGATTAAGGAAGACTTGTCTTCCTTCTTGTATATCTGGATAATCAATGACTTAAACCAACCCGAAGGGACTTCTTCTGGTTCTCAGACGTTGTCTAATACGTTAGTCAACGCAGACAGTGAATTGTCTCCACCGTACTTAAATATCTCTGGAGTCATTCCATCGGGCCCCACTGCTTTGCCTCGTTTCAAAATAGTGACAGACTTAGTAACCTCAGTTCGGGACGGAGGACCTGTGTCTATATCCCATTCAGGGAGGTGTTGGATGTTCGGCAGTTTAAGCGTGTCTGTAGGTCAATTAACCTACTCTTCATAGTGCTCTTTCCAGCGTTCCAGTCGTCTATTCTGGGAGCTAATTATGGTACCATTTTTCTCCGAGATTGTTTCACCTATCATTTGCCTTTTACCACCTGTTTCCCTGATAAGCCTAAATATTTGTCTGGTGTTACCAATCGCCGATGCCTTTTCTATCTCTTTCGCTTTTGTCACCCACCACTGTTCACGGTCGTTACGAAGGCTTCTTGTTAGTTTGCATTTGAGTAACCATCGCTCCTCATCATAATCGGAGCTCGCTGGAATCAGTCTTCTTACGTCAGTCAGTTCGAATGGGTCTTACTAACTTTTGGTTTTAGGTTATTAACAGCTTTTACAGCTGTATCTACATCTAAATGTATGTTGTGCAAGGCTACCTCAAGAGGAGTCCTGTTGACGACCTCAGATACACGTTTCGCTTTTCCCACCTTAAATAGATACTCAGTGTCTCGATCTAGTTTGGAACGCAACTGCTTCGCTGCCAACAATTTCTTATGTCCGTTTAGTCGTAAGCACAAACGTGTGTGGGCCAGGTCGTGATCAGAGTCTACGCACGTGTTCCAAAAGGAGTGGCAGTCTCCTACTGATCCTCTCCAACGATACCCTACCGCTGTGTGGTCTATCTGAGTCCAGCGTTGATTTGGTGATGGAGGTCGTCAGGTTACACAATGTCTCTCTTTGTGCCTAAAGTTAGTGCTGACTAGGAACAGATGATTATCTGAGCAAAACTGTAGAAGACGATTACCGTTATCGGTTTGTCGGCGGGGCACTTCATACGTACCACCTACATACTTCTCAGTCTGGCACAACTCCCCTACTTGGGCATTGAAGTCGCCTGCTAAAACAACTATATCTGAACGTTTTGCTTTTTACAGTAAATTAGACAGTTTCAGGTAGAAGTCATCCTTTAGTTCATCCGAAGTGCAGTCTGTTAGGGCGTAAGCGGAGACTACGAAGAGCCAACGATGAGTAGCGCCGTCTTTCCTTCTTCTAACGGACCCATTTAGACGGACCGCACACATACGACTATCTACTGGGATCCAGTCAAAAAGTGATTTTTCCGCCCTAACACTCGGCGTTATCCCTACACCTGCGAGTCCAAGCGAGCTAGCTGAGGGGTCTCCCGACACCCTTAAAGTGAATTTTGTAGGTTCTCCTTGTTGACCTGATGAGGTTAAATGAATGACCACACTCGGGTCTTGTATGTGTGTCTCCGAAACACAACATACATCCATGGCTCGAATTGCCAGAGTTCTTGCTAGTTATGTTTATTGTCCGATTTGGCAGGGGTCCTGACGTTAAATGCTCCTATATGAAGTTGGTGACGTGGCTTTAAAAGGCTGTCTGGGGTGTTTCTATGGCTCTCACCGTTGTTCATGGTCACAGAGTGAAGTGAAAATGACTCATTAGCCTGCGGAATAGTGCTAACTGTAGAAGAGAAGCAAGATGAGAAAGGTGATGTGAGTGAAGGGGGATGATGCTCAGGAAGGCTTCATGTGCTTTCGGAAGTGTGTGGGCGATTGTTACTTCCCGGCTGGCCACACCGTGGAAGTTGGTTGCGTGACCGCAGAGCCCAGGGGACAACTGCTTGAGGCCGGTCACACGCGGCCTGTTTTTGTTTGTTCTTTTCTGTTTAGTGTGTCTCAATAGCATATTTATCACTTCTGCCATGTGAAACGGTAGCAGGAAGCGCGGTTGTTGTTAATTCCGAGCCCCGACCGATCCGGCATGATATTTTGTGAATTTGTTTTAATCATAGTATCGGATTGGGTAGCTGCTTTTTGTCTAACCACTATCCAAACAACCTTTCTGGCATGGCAGACCTCAAGAGACATAAGTCTCAGCCAGTATAGCTTGTTGGGTCATTGCAGTGTTTAAGCCCGACCACCACATCAAGGTAGCAGCTTTGCAACCATTGCTGAAAAGTCCCAAACTAGGACGAAACGGCTGCCCAGTACTTTCGGGTTTTCCAATGGTTCTCTAACTGATGTCAGCTCATGATGAAATCTTCCAACCACTTTAAATTCACTTGTCTGATACCATACTAACGTTATAACGGTGCCAGCTATGACCCAGTGTTATAAACATCTGACTACCGATACATGATCAGAAACCTAGTGTCATACTTCCACAAATACTCACAAAACTGTTTTAAAATACAAAGTTGTCTCCATATCATACATTCACAAGTCATTCTAACCCTTTTCATCTAGACCTAGAGTGATTGGATATGGCATATGCATAATGGAATAACTACATGAATGCGTCGGTGGCATAGCGGTTAGGACGCTCGCCGACCATGCACATGGTCCGGGGTTCGATCTCCGCCCGACGCACGCCTTTACCTCGCTAAGCTAGAAATAATTCTGGTAAAGAGGAAAGGTTGGGCATGAGTCTAGCAACAGTCTACAGAAACTTCAAGCCAATAGCTTGGAACTCTATGTTCCACTTGGGAACGTGAAGGAAAAAAAATATTAAAAAAGCGTGAATGCTTCCCGCAAAAAAGACATACATTAAAAGTAATATAGTAGTCGATTGAACTTACCACCAGCAATGAAGAGACTGAAAAAATCCTCAACGCCAATTAGAGAAATTATGGATGGTGCAAAACTGTGTAGAACATACATATTAATAGCCAAATGGAAAAAACTTCGGTGCGAAAACACACTTAGTATCATTGATAATACAGGAGTAGCTACAGAATAAAACATTTATTGATAAGAATATCTATAGGGTACAAAAGAATCAATCAGAAACAACTTTCAGATGATGTGAAAAATAATACTGCACACACTCAAAGTGCAACACAAAATATTGACAAAACCATTTGAAATCATTGACAGTATCTTGTTATCCAGATTTTTATTAACTTAAATTTTTCTACCCACACCTGGAGAGACTACTTCATGAAACCGCAGATTATCGATCCAGATACTCAGCTAATAATCGGCATGTCACAGCTCTAGCCACTGACTCACAGACTAACTCTGAACTTAAAAATAAGTGCGACAATTCAAGTTGCCAGAAAACCATCGCTTGTTTCAACAAAATGTGAAACTCGGAGTGTAGGGCACGAACCAATATGGCATCTGAACTACCTGGGTGAAATAATTGATCACACTAAAACCAAGCAATACTCTAGAGGAAAGTAATAGGCGAAAAACCTTGAATCAACATTTCGTTTGTGCGAACGCCCATCAGCAGAAATTTAATATTTGTGGTCTGTGCGTCTCAGACATACTGTGAAGTTACAACAGCAAGCTGTCAACCTATGCTTTCATATGCCGAAGTGAAGCAGACTATTTGATTTTCTTTTAATGTGGATTGTTCCCACTACTTTTGACATTATTAGTAATAATATAACAATTCGCTGCACATAGAAACTTTATACTGTTAACTACCGCAAATTTAATCGAAAAATGATGTGGCAAATATGCTAAATTACTAAACTATATCAGCTGGCGAGTCAAACAAAGGTATACACAATTAAACCCAAACGAAATCAAAATACATTTACTAAAGGGGTGAAGAGATAATCACACTTATTTTTGTACATAAAAGTCGACAATTGCTTAAGCTAGAATTCACAATGTTAACTATTTGATCACTTCGTATTCCGAACTCCCTCATTTACAACACTTGGGATATTGGTTTGACACGTGAAATGTTTCGTTTCCCCTTTCTGACTTTACAACCAACGCAACCATAGAGAGTATGAAGCTGATGAGAATCTGTGAAACAAAACGATACCGTTTTAAACTTAAATCACGTTTATCTTGCTTCGACTTTGATACATGAGGTCATGTGGAACTACGTGACTGAAACTCAATTCAAAGCCGACTGATTAGAAGTCAAATTTCTAACACAAGTTACACTGCATAGAAAAGGTAGTAGCAACCAAAAAATGCAGAATCCCTTTTTTTAAGCACATACTATATATTCAGTACCACTTTACGACACCGACAATATTTCGTAGAACTCAGTTTCATGAGTGTGTAAATATATGTCAACGAAACTGCAATGTGTATACCAAAAAGCAGTAATAAATATTGCATTCAAATCAAAAATAACACGCAAAAAGACATTCTTTTAAAATCAGAGTTACTCACGCCCGTATGGACTGCTACAGAAATAACGAAGAAGGGTAGACGAAAACGCGCTGTTAAGACCAAGGTATATCAGAACATTACATGCCAAGAGAGCTGGAATAACCAAAAAGATTAGTGTAGCAGTATGAACGTACCCCAATACATATCAGAGGCTCTCAGAGGTCTACCCAAAATACCTTCAAGATATTCACACACCTTTAATATAATTTCGTTTGAAATTTATCGAAATACCCTAGAAACGAAACTCTTGTTTTCTCTGTACTTTGATTTTGCACGTCGAGATCGCCACGCTTCGAAACCTAAAATCAGCGATCCCACAAAAATTGCATTTGTAGATATAACTGTAAAAGCTCCACATTTAACAACCAATCCCAGTTTCGATGCAGGTGAGAATTGCCCATTACTGTGTACAGGTGTTTGTATAGAGGCTTTTTTCCGTGAAAAGCCTGTCCTACCAAATGCATAGGGTCTACAGTCTGTAAAAAAATAAATGACAAAATAAAGCATAAAATCACAGCTAATTATGCAACGTTAAACAAATGGCTTTATATGCAGCACGACACATAACTTGAATTACAAATAGCAAAACGGCAGTGTCATTCTAAATCTAAAAGGAAATAGATAAACCATATAATCACATTTATAAAGAGACACTTTTGCGTGAAATACCAACCAGAAAAGTGCAGTAAGACCTTTAATGTCTTTAAACGACTGACTTTTCAAACAAACAGAAATAATGCACTTACCTGTATGCAACTCAACGACCTTTTGAGGTCACTTGTTGGAGAAAATAGCTTTAGAGACTAAAAAGGTAGTTACATTGCACTAATAATAACTAACATGAAGCGGAGAAAACTACACCTTCACGAAGCTTTCCTACTCTAGAGCCTTATTTAAAACGTCCACACAAAAGTTGTGTGTTGTTCACTTTGTTTAAGAGGTTCGCATGAGCCTGAATACAGTGACTGTTGACAAATTCTCAGAACGGATACAAAAAGTTGATTGGGCAATTGCCAACTTGAACCATATCAGGCAATGGAATGACATCTGATAACCCATCAAAGGACACCAACATTGTGTAACAGTTAGCTTCGTACTACTTTACAGATGTGAAGCAGGAGCCACTGAAGATGTATATGAAAAGTTAGCATTTGGAGCATGAGTGACTCTCATGTGGAAAGACATCATCAGGTTAAGCATAGCATTACATAGAGGAAGAAAACCAATATGGTTGTGAAGCTCCATAGCTTGAAACAGCTAGGATGTGCTATACGACCTTCTTCTACATTGCCTAAAATAAAACTGCGAGTGATCACAGGAAACTACGCTTAGAGCTACCTGTGGAGGCGTACATTTCTTCTCTGGTGTCTTCGCAATGATAAAACTCAATAGCCGTAAATTCTATGACAGCTCGTAAGTGTGCAGAATTTAATATTCGAGATTCTTAAAACTCTAAATAATATTTATCCTGTTGTTCTTCCCTTATATATTTTCCGTCTACTATTCTGTACATGTCTTTCCTACTTTTGTGTGCTTTTCTGAAGTGTGATAATCTAAAGTGGTGTACTTTAGTCCAAAGTTCTACACTGATGTCATTTTTAGAATAACTGACGCCCACCAATATAGACTAAACACACATGCACACTGGATGAGCTAGAGGAAAAACTGTCGTAAATTCAGATGCACAAAAACCCAAGAGTTGGGGACAGCTGCGACTGAAAATGGCCATGTATTATCGTTCATTCGCAGTTAAGTGGTTCAGAAGAAACAAAATCATAAGCAGTAGGATAACTGAAAAAATATGGACCGAAAGATATCATGCAAATGGCGTGTTCGTGAATGATCACAAACATGTTAAAAATATTACAAAAATCGGTCATAATTATGATTAGTAGTTTGGTTGGCTTACGATAGAAAAGTATAATAGGGGAGAAGGGGAACTGATTAATGTTTCACATTTCTTGTCACTTAAACAAGAAAACGATGGTACAGAGGCCTGGGACAAATTGAGATTCACATGAAATGATTCACACACGTCAAAAATCAATTTGACGCAACAAGGGAATCAGAAATATCTGAAGAACTATGCTAACTTTAATCGAAGTCTGAAAGCCTAAAGTACCTGAATATGCAGGATAACCTTATCTACCATCGACAGCCTCGTCCTAAACTTCCAGCTAAGGTAGGTACTCCCTAACCATTTAGCACTAAACAGATTGATACTGCGAATTAGGGATAGAATTCCACATACACCAAAGTATTTGGCCGAATGAATTCTCATCTCCTTTCGAAAAGATACAAATTATTAAATCTTGACGTGTCCTTTTATAAATCACTTAACCACTACTTATCAAAATAATTTACATGACCACGTACTCTGGTATATCAGACGAAACCTCTGATACGATCTGGAACACAAGGTAATCATCTGTGGACAAGTCAAGGCCACTGGCGCTGAACAACGTACAACATTCAATGAAAGTCAGTTTAGAAATCATACGGATATCTCATCAATTTGTTTGACATTGTAGAAGATCCTTTCTTCTGCTTTGGACTGAAATTACATCTCAAATTACATGCTGGATAGTTAACGAGAAAGTAGCGATTGGATATTCCCAAAATTATTTGCCATAGCATTCATCACTGACGTATTCATGTCATCAGAAAGGGTCTTAAAAACCGGTATGCAAAATGGCGTTTTTTCCGCCGGATTACTTCCTGTAATTGCTAAAGCCCTTGCGACTACAAAATATGGCGTGACGGTGCTCTTCTCATAGGCAGACTCGACTGTCGCACTGCCAATTACTATTATGACTAAATAAGAATAAAGGAAATAGCAACATAATATCTGTCCAACAAAACGATAGAAAAAGACTGAAAAGCATGAGTAAAAGGTCTTCAACTTTGCCTATGACTTTCAGATCATTTGGCCTCATAGCAGCAGACCAGCAAGTCTTTATCTGATCGAGTGGGGAAGGTGCTGGCACAGAAGTAGTGCCTGGAGCTTTGGCAGCATTTGAGACGTTTGGGATTACCACCAGATTAATTGCGGAAGTGGTGGTTGAATTAGACTCGCCGGCTAGGAACATCACGTGTCCCATCGGATAATTCACAAAATAGGCATTTTACGGGTAGGGAGGAAAAAGGAGATCGTGTTCAAAGGAATTGAGTAAGTTAATACCGATGCCATTGATGAAAAAATGTAACAGGAAGAAGGTTTAGCCCTTAAAAATACTTTTTATAAAATAAAAAGGCATTTTCATTCGTTTTAATGGCCCAGACTCCTTTTGTTTTAATGTGCCAGCCTTGCTGAAACTGGAATCTTTTGCCTGATGACAATACTATGACGAGAGCTTGTGTTTGTATAATACAGGATCTCGAACACTTCTTATAGCACTTGAACTGTGTGTATGACGTTCAGAGCTCCCATGAAGATACCCAGTATCATTTTTGCAAACTGAAACACGGGTAAACCCTTTGAAATGTGACTTCTGGAGTACCGACGTCGGAAGCCCATTACTAAACTCCGACAAAGTCTATTTCCATGGGCTATCAGTGGAGCCCTATCTATGGGAACCTGTAATCTTTCTGCTTCTACAACTAATTATTCACTTTCAACTCTAGTTTTCAGTTTCCCTGCTTGCACTTTACGCACTAGGTATCTGAAACTGATGTAAGACAGTGAATCGAGTAAGTCATGGAATACGCTTCAGTCGTCCCTGGTTTAACAATCCGAAATCCTATAGCTGTTGCACAGCATATCCAATCACACCCATTTCCTGTCGAGCAGACAGCCTGCTTCCGTCCTAATTTATTACGAACTTGGTCACAATAGCTCACAAATGGTAATTCTGCATCTGCACAAAAGAGCTTCAGACATACAGGTTAGTCAAAAACCAGCAACAAATCACATTGGCCCAAAAATTCATTCCACAGTGACTCGTCCTCCATGGTGATTTTTAATTCACCAGGCACTCTAGCCACATCTCGGCTAGCTTTGCAACCACTTGATAACTGTATTTGTTCAAGCTTATAGTATATTTCCTAGATTTGGTAATAAGTCATCACCTATTGCATCACCTCAATTCCACTATACCGCTGCTAATCTTAGCATAACTGAATTCATATGACTGCAGTTGTCACTCAGATTTGAAAGTGATCTGAGTTGGCCCAACGAGTCCTGACCAAAACATCTGCGGTGTAATATGTTTAGATGGACAGCATAGCCGGCATATGGTGCCAGGGATGCGGGAGAAATGTGAAAGGGACCACCAAGAAGAATATCATAAGCAGAGTCGGTAGCGCTAACCACCCCACATCACAGTAAGGCGATGAGACTCACCGCCGACTGCCTATATAATGTAAGAGGGTTGAGTGGAGAAATGGGTGAACTCAGAAATTTTCGATCATACCTATCCCTTAAAATAATAATCCTGATAGAAACGCGACCAACTCCTACTATGGCTCACAGTGAAATCAGTATAAGTGATATGGCTGTGGTCAGATGAGACAGATATAACAACCGAAAGTTCACAGTTTACGTATACGTGGAGAGGTAGCTTAAATACGTTCGAACAACGGACCTATCACTTACCGAACTACCATACCGTGGATATTGCAACCGCAAGCCGATGCACATCTGATATCTATGGTCGGCCTGTAAAATTTGGGCTACCGATATCCATGCTGAAAATTACATACATGTACCAAAAATACAGTGTAGAATAAAGCTGTAATCAAAAATTAAAAAATAAAATAAAGGATTTACTGGGTGGAATCTATCGATCATCCTCCTGTGGAGCAGGTAAAAACCCTGCTGCTCAGAGCCTCCACAAGGATTTCAGCCATGGCCAAATCACTACAGTTAGAGACTTCAATGCTCCAGCCCTTGATACTAAGTCAGGGTATGCTCATGGAAAATTTGGTCAAGATCTGCCACATATTATTGGAAATGCAGGATTGAGTGAGAACGTTGAGGACGAAGCCAAGTGAGGCCCTGGTCGAAAGTCATCAAAACTGGATTATATCCTAGCTAGTGACCAGTTACCAGTCTAAAACGTCCAAATCACGATATATCCACGTAGCAGTGATGATATCGGTCATGTTGTTCTGTCCGATTCTCTGCTAGCACTTACTCTGGAATGCTACACAACATTTTGCAATGGTGAAACTGACTACTTCGAAATGCGAAGATTGCTCCTGACGCAGAATAGTCTGTAGACCGGGCTGGTTTATTAGTAGAAGAAAATTGAGAAATGTTCATAGGGACCATTCACAAAGCAATCTCAGACACTGTCCCTCTAAACACACTATAACCTAACAGGCGATCCTCATAGCTAGGAAGGGACACAACGCATTCTGCGAGCAAAGCGAAAAGCTTGGTTTACATAGCGACTCATTGGGAGTCACAGTGACCATGAGGCTAACCTGAAATTCAGGAACCGGTACAACAAAAAGGTTAGTAGTGACGCGAAGTCATTTCAGGCCAATCTCAGAAAACTCCCAAAAAACCTCTAAAGCTTGTGTGAACTCATATCAGAAATAAAACCTACTAACTAAGGGGCATACAGCTTGAGACGCCCAGGTGGTCAATATCCCACTAGTTTAAAGAAGGCTGGAAAATTTATTTTGGTCCTTGACATATAGCTTAATAGCGCTATGAGTGTCATCGCCAAAGACAGAAATATTGCACGGGCATACCCTATAAAAACTTCAAAATTCTAGTAAGGGAGTCTCTAGTAAGGAAAGTCTCTGAACTGTGATTATATTTGGCCGTCAGTTCTGCAGCAGTGTGTAGGAGCTCTGTGAAGGCCCCTAATTTGCATGTTCCAACACTCAGTGGATTCAGAGAAAATGCCAGTGGAGTGAAAGTGGGCCGTTCTCTCCTCGCGAAAGAATTCGACACAGTTTAGTTCACAAATGGGCCAGGTGATTGTTGGTAACCAGCATCCTTCATTATTGGAGGACTACTTAAACGAAAAAGAATTCTGCTCCAAGATCCGTCGTGTCCAATCATACCGGATCAGAAGGACGTCAGGAGTATCACAATGGTTCAGTGGCTGGCTATGCCGTCTAGAATGCTCGGACCTTCTTAATTGTGACGACGTAAGGCTTTGAAGAGCTGCAGAGTACTGAGAAAGATCAAGCTGCAGATATAACTAACAATTCTGGAAGACTTGGCATTGGTTAGTGGTATGACTTTCAGACTGAAAAAATGTTAAGTAGTGTAGCTGCACTCATTTGAACCCGAGAATGTAGGTTACTGTCTGCGAAACATCAAAAAGCAATTTACGTCCAGTTCTAAAGTAAAAAAGGGGACATCAGCGTGAACAACACGAGTGATATAGCGAGGGCAAGTGCCGTCGTACATTATGCTTAAAAAACGAGGTGTGCTCACTACTAATCTTCTTTAAAGGTTATACAGAACATACTCAAGACCACACCTTGAAGTGACCGCTACTACCACACCCTCATTGCGTTGCTCAGAAGGGATACTGATCATTTGGAAAGAGAACAAAAAAGAGACAAAACTGGTGACCGGCCTGCGAAATAAAACATAAGATTAACAGGTATTTTCACACTTCGCCACTGCCGCCTCAGAAGTGACTTAATTTCCGCCTTGAGATTACAAATTAACCGAATTCCCGAACAAAGATATTCTTCCAGTAATTTCGAACGGGCTTTCTCGTGATAATCCAGGTAGGATAGTGTACCGGACGGATAATCCTGAGTGTGCTCCAATTTCTTCTCACCTCAATTTCGATGCCCTTGGAACTTCTCGTCAGCAGGTGTGGCTACTGCTCTAAGTGGAAACTGGCTAATCATACAGTAACACAAAGACTGCTTCCAAACTGCCTATCCCCTCGACACTCATATATATATATATATATATATGTATATATATATATATATATATATATATATATATATATATATATATATATACGAATAATGGGTGTGTACCTGTACGCGTCCTTTTATTACTGCCAATCCCCCTCTTCCGATAGCTCTACCTATTTATTCACTGATATCGTTGTTACACATATATGTATATATATTTATGCTTATAAACACATTTATTTCAAAAATTCATCTTCTCTCTGAGTACGTTAACCAAATCTATTACAGTAAAGTGGAGAAATGAATTGAGGGGATTTTACCGAGGATCAGGAACCTTTACTTTGAAACCAAGAAATGAGCACGAAGAAATCACTTTGGTTCGTACTAGCTTGTAAAAACGATATTGGCCATTGGAATCAAAAGACGTAACAAGGCAGCCTCGAGTGACAGCCCCAGAAATACTTGGCAAGCGCTTCGAAGTAAATATACGGCAACAGCTGATTCTTGGCAAAGATAACCTTTGTCGTTTCTTCTGCTGCATATTTTAATAATGGCTGTCAGTTTGTTTGTCTTCACTAAAGCGGGTCGACAGACAACTAGCACATTTGAAATTGTAGCGTTGACCATAGTTACCGCTACAATGAGTGAAACACTAAGATTTATAACTCAGAAGCTCAATAGTGAGCCATTCAATAGAAACTTCAACTTAATTTCGTTTGATTCACTTGAGCCTGTTCATCTACTCCAGTTGGTCAGTGATGTTATTGCTGAGATCGACTCTAAAGTAATGTGTCATCATTTTCTCAAACCTCTTCCTAAGCATAAAGTTGATATCCGAGAAGAATCTATAGATCAAACAGCTATTAGATTGTTCGAGGCAATGAGGCTTTTCAGATATAAATTGCCAAATGATGCAGAAGGCCTGTAAGACCAAAAAATATTTATAGTCAAATTAACCATGAAAGGAGCTCATTTCGTCAGGGTCTAGTGACTGGAGACAAAATGGTCATTTACCCTCTCCTAGAATGGCTTCTGAACAGAATACCGGAACTGAAGAAGCGTGCATACTTAGCTAGATTTCTCGTGAAGGTATCTATACCGTCAGAATTTATGCAAGATGATGAGATATCATGTCTGTATAAACAGGTAAAAACCTTCGGTCATGTTTATTTTGATCATAGTATGAAAGCATTATTGAAAACTTCAAGGAGACTCATAAGAAACTTGACAGCATGAAAGGTGGTGGTTTGACGACCGCAGAGGTGAAAAAAGATATAACAGCTATGCAAGAAGAAAAAGAGCAGCTTTCTAGACGAGTAGAAAGGATGAAGAAAAAGGTAAGTTTTCGAAAGTAAAGCAGCTCCGAATTAATTTTTAGACGGCCGTTTTGATGTGTATCACCGATCATATTATTATGAGCCAATAAAAATCTTTTGAGTCTATTTGGTCTGTATTTAAATGTGGTACAAGCCGCTGTGGTGATAGATCTTACAAATGTAGGAATTTATGATAGCACAGAATTTTCAGTTGATACTATTTGATTTGAAGACAATACTTTCACTACTTAGTGTTTCTTTTAGGTGACAAATATTCCTAATTTTAAGCCGAAATAGACCTTAGTTGGCGAAAAATATTGCCTACATTCGTGTTATTATCCAAAAAATTCCTTATGCATCTTAAATAATGTGTTCAGCTCATATTTTTGCAGCATTCAAAGTACCACAGGAGTCTAGTAAACTGCACAACAACACTTGCAATATAAAACCTATGTAACTAAAAACGTGATTGCTGAGATTTTCTCTACGACAAAGTCATCAACTAGGCATTCGTGCTTTTATAATAAGTGGGTCAAGGGTCAAATTAATAAAACTGCAAATAGAGATTAAAATAGAAGGACTGAATAAAAAACAGTAGGACTATAGTTACTGAGAAGATCAAATTTTTTATGCAATCAGCGAGTAATATGTACTAATAACAAAATAGACGGAAAGTTCGAATGAAAAAACATAGTAGTGCAAATAGGAATTAAAAACGTAAATATAATACCAACAAACAGGCAACAAGTTGGTTTACCACATAAGTTTCATGTCTTACAGGCTTAAAGGTTTAGTCTGAACCCAGACGAATAAGCACTGTCATTATGTTGTTAACCTACCAGTGAAAAAGTTTCACTTTTCAAGGTGTCACTTCTCTTGGCACTCAGCGATATCTGGGTAGAACCAGTTCACAAGGAATTCAATAATGTCTATAAGAAGATAGAATATTTTTTAAATTAGACCGGAAATTGCTGGCTCAAGCTCGATGAAGGAGTTAGTTACTTTACTGAGGTTATAGAAGTAAAAGAACGCGAATAGCTTTTGAAATAGATTAAAGCATATCTCCATAATACGTCAGGGTTCACTTACCATTATCCTTATTAATAGTATAGTGTGGAGTTTTGCTGCCTAGTTTCCAGTTTTTTATGCCGAAATTAAGACACTTATTGTATCCACTTTCACTGATTTATAAATCCTTATTAAAATTTGTAACTGTCTAACGACATACACAACTTCAACCCATCAACAAAAATGTGAAATTTAAGTTACTAAAGGGTAACTTGAGCAGGAGGGACAGTTTGTATCACGAATAATATTCAGAGTCAAACATTTATCCACCGCACACTATGTATTCTTACATAATCGAAGTGTGGTGTTCAACAATGCATCACAAAACTAACTGGAAGAATACGTCATTTTAAGTTCTTCAGCACCTCTTTTAAATTTTCGGATTAATGAACTCCTCAATTTATGAATAAGTAGCTAAAAATATTGTAGAGGATTTTGAGGTAATTGCTTTAAATCTAGTGATAAATAATAACTTTTTTAAATATAAACTATCATTTCGTATTCCGGACTATAGTGTTTGGTTTTATCAGCAGTCAAGGTGATGTAACTGATACTTTCCTTCTAAATCATGAAAGATAATTTACTTTTAACTATTAGGGATTAAAGAAAGCAGATGAATTTTGATATTTCCATCATGTAGTTAGTATAATTTGTGCAGTTGTAGGAATGCTGATGGATTGAGCTGCCGTGCTGACCGGTTTTCTGCTATTCTGACCCTTATTTTTGAAATGCCCAATAAGTGAAATACTCTTTTCAAATACCTTTTATTTGCTGTGGTAATGGTTTCTTTTCGATTTTTAAGATAAACACTTTTCTTAAATATTTTACCACATACAGTTGGAAGGCTTTCCTACTAGTAACAAAATGCTTGAAATGGCAAAAAAGCTACGTTTGGAAAGAGAAAAGGAGTCAAAAATATCTAGACAGATGAAAGAACAGAAGTCTCTGGTAAGTTTTTCTCAAGATTTTTCGAAATGTGTTGAAATGTATCAAAGGTAACACACGTTTTCGTCTAAATTTTGTTAAACACTGCATATTTTCAAAGTTGTTTGGCAAAAGGATGATGAAAGTCCACGAAGATTGAAATACTCTCGCATATGTTCGCTAGCTAATTACTCATGAGTTTAATCTTGGAGATACGCTATGCTCTATGAGTTTATTTCTCAGCCGAAAAAGAATGTATTTATTGAGCGCCAATTAAACCAACTCGAATTAATTTACTACATTACAGTAGATATTAAAGTGAAAAATACCTTTGACCAAACGTATTTCGAGTACACACCCAAACTTTTGGAAGTATGCCCAAGTGTTTTGAAGAAAATTATATGAGTTCTAGAAACTTTATAGGCACAGTTAGTTGAAGTAACCTTTTTATTTTCTCAATATTTGCACCTAACAAATAATTCAATCCCTGAATCGTCTGAATTCGAGAATATATATATATATATATATATATAGGCCAAGAGTTGTCTTACTGACAACATATTACACTTCTAATGCCCTCAACGAATTCGACACTATATTTCCGGACTAGCTGCACTTCTTTAAAACCTCATATACAGTTTTTAAGTCCTAGGAGGCACTGCATTGAGCCAGTTATTTCACAGAGAATTTATTCAATCATATAATGTGCGTTTATTTTCTGTCTGTTTTTTCCCTGATCCTCAGTTTAATATATTTGTAGTTCATTTGAATTTAGAAGCGTATGTTACAGTCATTCAGGACGATCACTTGCATTTGACGACAGTTTTAAGCTATTTTTCTTATACCAGATTTCTTCACGAGGTGATACTAATTAGAAAATAACTGAAAACAATGTGGCCTTGGACGTGTGTTTTGTCTCAGTCTGGGAATCCTCTTCAGTGTGCACAAACGACCCACCAGGACTGTGAGATTATGAGGCAAGCTGGTTAGTCATTCAACCACCACACAGAAATCTAGTGACTCGTGGATTTTGAATTTTCATCACATAAGGAATGAATTCTGTCGCACACTGTTGAATCACCGAATACTAGGGCGAAACGCCTCTTCGGTGCACAATGTTTATTTAGCTGATGTTGGTTCGTGACTGTATCTACACCGAGACTAATTGAAAATTCTTACAAACTCAAAACACCAGGATATTTTTCCCAACTCGTAAAAACATAACTAACCCTTACAAACCAAACTATAGAAAATTAATCTTATGCTCGCTAGTGACTTGCTACAGGTTGGAGTTTCCTGAGTTCTAGTAAGAAGTCGTGACCAGTGAGGTCCAACTAGATGTCTCGTGTGTGGATGGATGTCCCACCAACGACAATGGTCGGGGTCGCGCTAAATCACAAATTGGTAGAAGTTAGGATTCATGAGCTGGCCATTGAATCGGGTCCCGGTGGCTGAATGGTATACGAGCTTGCCTTGTAACCGGAAGGTCCTGGGTTCGAATCCGAGTGGGTGCGTACTCTCGATGATTCCCAAACCAGGATGAAACAGCAGCTTTCCAGTACTCCCTGGCTTTCAATGGGTCTCTAACTGATATCAATCTGTGACCAACTCGTAAAAACATCACTAACACTTACAAACCAAACCATAGAAAACTTCAGACAATCATTTTTATGGTAAGTTGTTGCACTGGTAAATAACTGAACAGTGAAGTTCTGAATCAGTATGTTTTTCCTGTGATGCACTTTCAATGGGCATACCTAATATTAGGACTTTATGCGTCAATGACTTTAAGTATCATGAATTACTTTGGAATCCCTTATTCTTCAAACAGATTACCACAAGTATTTAATTTGCGGCGCAAAATAATATGTTTTCATTAGAATGAACCGAGCTCATTCCACAGTTCTCTACCTATAAAAATGAAATATACTTTACGTAATATCTAACTTTCAATTTGAAAACGTCAGAATATCAGCCCACATTTCAAAGTTTTCGTCTAGTGATATAAATTACTTATTATGAAAATTTTCAGACAAACAAAGTTTGCTCCAGTGAAATCATATGTCTGCACGGCCTTAGTAAACACAGTCGTTTAGGATAAATTCAGATATTTCCTAACATTGTTTTGTTTAAAAACTAGAGAATTAATTAAATTGGCTTACAAACTATCATGTGCTAAGGTAACTTAACACATAATAACCGCAGTAATACTCTGTTTTTATTTATACAAGACTCATCAGACATGTGATTATATTTTATATGAAGAAACAGACATACAGCGATGAGTTACTCTTTCCAACCATATCATTCTCAAGTTGTACAGTCTCATGTATGTACTGATCTTTCATGGAAACAAAAAGGAATGTTTCCAAAGACGTATCATTAAACTTGTAAGTTAGGCATTACAGAGGGCATTAATCAGGTAGGAACTAAAATAAGATAAAATAAAATATGTAAATTGTGTAACGTAATACAATTGAAAAACTGAGTACAGCCCAGCTAAAATAGAAGAAAAGTCAAGTTAAGATCACTGTTGTAAGGAGAAGAAATGTACTGGTATCAGGGAAGAAAACCGATAAAATTAAAAAACCTTAAAACATTAGGATTAACAAAAGTATGCATCAAGTGAAAAGACAAATTAAGTCAAATGTGGGTTCAGCGACTGAATAAACTTCTCTATGTAAAGTTGAGGATTTAACATGTGGATCGCCATAGCCTTGGCGGTTTTAATAAGTGTGATTCGTACTTCTTTGGCAAGATTTCCAAGTATTCTTTAGATGACTTAAGTTGTTTCACGAGTTCTGTCGATATCCAGAGCCGATCAGGTGTTCCATAATAGTGCTGCGGAGGGGTCTTTTTTCTGCTTCATAAAACCATGACGGTAAATGTCCGATGATATACTTGCACAGCAAACGCTGAGTACGGCGAACATATCTTGCTCCCCAGGAACAGGAGAAATGACAGACAGACAATGATCAGGCTAGATGAGGTAGAATGTCCTTCATGTTTATATGAATCACTGGTTTCGAAGAGAAAGTAAGTCGAAGGTCGGCTGCAAAGGAGGTTTTCCCCAATGAACCGGCCAAGTGGTTTTTTGCAGATTCAGCCAGGGAACATTTTGGGGAGAAGTGTGTGTGATCTGGGTGGTGTAGGTTTCATAGATTTTGAAATGAAACATTCAGGGTATCAGCTTTCAACAATGAGAACCCTTTTAGAGTGTTCACTTCCTCTTAAATAGTACACGGGCTGCAAATGTAATGGATTCTGTGCTTAATTGAGTGGATCTATGCTTCGCTCTGTATGTGAAGGCATATAACTGTAGAAGTCTGTGAGTTGTCCACTCCGTGTCTACTTTCTGTGGACGAATCTTTTCAGTGCCCCATTGTCCGTCTTGTGAGTTGAACAACCAGAAAGGATACTTTTGAATCAAACTCCTCCTGTAACATGGACTGGATTGTGTGGTGACACCTGTTGAGAATAACCTTAGTAGCTTCTGAATTCTGTTCACTACTGGATGGAGTAAAAGTATTTTTTAGTTTAAAATCGAGTTGTCAGGTTCCCATCTTCTAAAAGGAAGTCAGATATTTTAACCATCAACTGAGATAACGTTGAAACTAGCATTCGATAACTTCTTTTCTTAATGAAGAGTGTGAAACTGCTTTCAGAACGGTTTTGTAGTTATTTTAACCTTGGATTAGGGAATTTTATTATTTCATTTGTCCCCTACTTTTCTATAAAATGTGGTCATCTGCTTGTACTACTTATATGATTTGTAAGTAAACATTAAACATTACATGATTTTTGTAGTAGTCTTTAAACTGTACCATAAAACATCAACAAAATCCTTATCGCATATAATTTGTAAAAAGAACTATGCCTTCTACTATACTGATAATATTGTGTATATAGTTCGGCAGTTAGCATATACCTGTTGGTAGGATCTACAAGTGAATACAAAAGACTAGTTTGTAGTTTGCTAGTGTTTCTTGTTTTCAGTAAATTAAATATTCCCATAATTTATTCAGAACAAATATTTAGAGCGAACAATTGTTTTCAATAAATTCTTCTTCAGGCTCTACAATTATAAATCCATTAATGTAAGCATACAATAGCCAGTAAAGGCGAATTAGAATCATATCAGAAAGTGTATTGTGGAACAAGTATAAGATGGGATGAAACAATAGTCATATAGTCATATAGTTTTTTAATATGCATGGTCAATAACAACATGGGACAGAATGAGATGAAATAATTTAATGATGTGTGTATATATATAAATATAGTTGACAGAAAATACAGGTTTCAAGGGTGAGTGTAATCAGGGTGTGTGAGGCAATATGAAAATAAACCAACGAATGGGGCGGTCTAGACTTAAGTTCAAGGTTGAAAATAACAACAATAAGAATGATTGTAAAATAATAACGATGATATGGTGTAAAATTAAATTAAATGTACTATTGGTGAATGATTATCAAATAATAATAATGAATATAATGAAGTGGAATGAACAGGATTTTGTAAATACGATAGTAAGTTAGAAAAGCACTATTTAAACCTAAGGTAATAAAATCTTGTTTTATAACTATGCGTAGGAAGTTTCAGATGTTTTCTCACTGCATATCTCTCCTAATTTCTAAATTCTTCCCGACACTTTTTGCACATATCTGCTCAACAGTTTTGCCCCGACAGCTATCAACTACTTTCTTCATCAATGTTTTATTTCCTGAGATTCCGATTATTGGTTTCCTTTCTCTTTAAAGTATGACAGCTTAGAAATAATCTAAGGTGACATAGTGTTAAAAACAAGTCAGTTAAGAAATGAATGTCATTATATTGATTTACGTTGTAAAATATGTCAGCGACAAGCTTTTGAGTGGTGACCTATTATAATGAACAAAATGATATCAAGTTTAAATGATGTTTACATCAGAAATTGGAAGTAATCCTGTGATTATTTACTCCAATTGAAGTTAATTGACGTATCTTTAGTCACGATAAAATTTTGAAAACTCATGTAACATATA